CTCTAGGGAGGTGCTAATCTGGCGTTTGCCTGAGGCTATCCAGCAAATGCCTGTGTGCAGGGCTTGGGCGGGGCGGGTCGCACAGGATCAACAGGGTGGGCCAGAGAGAGCAGTTATGGCGGCTCTCAGTCCTGTCCCCAGGGGCTCTGCCTCTCTGAGTCCCAGCACCCGCTGCAAAGCTCAGAGAGAAAGCTGCACTCGCTCTGACCGAAGCCAGACAGTCCCGCTTCTCCCGTTTGAGTCTGGGTCCCTAAAGACTCGCCCGGATCTGGAGCTCAGAGTCTGCGACTCCCTCCCGATTGAAAACGCCAACCGCGCCCTCCGCCGCCAGCCCGCTCCGCGCACTCCGCACCTCAGAATTTGACTTCAGCACTGCGCCTCCTCTGAGTGTCCGTATGCGTTTCTCTTTCCTCCTAGTTGTAGGACTTCCACTCAGCCAGCGTTCCTGTGGTTCTGGGTGATGTCCCTTCCGTTTTTTGGTTTCACTTTTGAAGTAGTTGTTCAAAGCAGCAAACTCCGGCGTTAACCTATGCCGCCATCTTGGTTCTCCCTTCTCGCATCCGGTACTCTTGACCGGAATTGAATCCTGGACCTTCTGGTTCGCAGGCCAACGCTCTATCCACTTAGCCAAACCAGCTAGGACTTAACATTATATTATTAAGAAATGTATTGTGGAGCATGAAAGTTTGTTGCTTTTTTAAAACCAGATCTACCTTTTATTTATTTTTATATACATTAGTAAAATTTGAAAATTGTGGTACTACTTAACCTTTTATTATACCTTTTCATATTGTCTTTTTCATGAGAAATCAGTTTCATCTCATCCAAATAAGTCCCTCTATATATACTACAAACAAGAAATATTAGCAAAGAGTTCTTGCATATCAATACAGATGTTTCTTAAACTGGCATTGAAAATTGCCCTCCTGGAGGCAGCGCCTGCTATTTATAAAGGCTTGACCCAAAGGTCAAAATAAACTATTTTTAGCACAGATGTCATGGGACTTTTGGGTTACCCTAACATACAAGTAGACTGTGGCACAGAGGATGCATGCACCTCTTTCCAGGACTGGGCTGAAATTGAACCCCATTTTCTTGACAGCTGGTCTCAACACAGTTACAGGGGACCACAAATAATTTCATACATAAGTTTAAAATCAATAGGAGTTACTTAAAATGAATAGTAATGTTAACTTAATATTATGAAGTACAGATTAGGTTTAAATTATTTGTACTATAGAAAATGTTTGGTTGGCTCTTTTTATTATTTTTAGAATAGCAATATTCCTCCCCCCTTTTCTGCTTTTGCAGAAAGTAGAAGGAAGGATTAGTGGATAATTGTATTGCTGTGATTGCAGCACCTGTGTGTTATTTTTTTTGATTGGCTAGTTTTGTATTAAAGATTCCTACCAGCTAAAAGTCTCCCTCATCAAATAGCTTTTTATTAGCTAGTTTGGTTTGGGTGGTTTTAAATTTACAATAAAAACCTTCTTAATTCAGTTTAGACTTATACTTTAAATTTTGCTCTGAATTTGTTAGTTTACCATTACCTTTTTATCATCTCACCCATTTCAGTTTTTTAATTTCAATGACAATGGCAACACGTACTCACAGAAGGAATATAGCTTGAGCTATCCTGTTATTGCTAGCCCTCAAGTTTGTGTATGCCACTTAATTTATAGGTACTGATAACTCTTTCCTAGAGAGCTGTCTTTTAAGGAATACATGTCTAACTTTGTCTATTATATGAGAAATAGGAATTAACCACTTTGGATTATGATTACCAATGCAGATGCTAACAGCACTGTTTGGAACTTTCACAAAAAGCACCTTGTTTGTGGACTTAGGACTGTGTTTAAGTACTCAGGGTTTGTTAAATCTCCTGAATATTATATGTTTTCTGAAGTAAATAGAGGAAAATATTTAAATACTATAGAATGGGTTGGTTGGTTTTATTTATTTGGCCACATCAAACTTTGAAAATTATAAAAAATGTTTAGAAGATGAGTTACTGTAGGTAAACCCTAATTATTTACTAAGCTAGCAGTGTTTTCTGAAGATAATCCCCCCAAAAGAAAACTTCAGACATTAGCCTGCCTAATTTAAATTCAATCATTAATGATTGTTTCACTTTTTTTTTTAATCCTCACCCAAGGATATTTTTCCATTGATTTTTAGAGAGAGTGGAAAAGAGAGGAAAAGACAGAGAGAAATATTGATGTGAGAGAAACACATTGATTGGTGGCCTCCTGCATGAGCCCTGACCAGGGCCCAGGTCGGGGAAGAGCCTGTAACCAAGGTGTCAAACTCAGGACTCTTTGGTCCTCAGGCTGACTCTCTATTCACTCAGCCAAACCAGCGAGGGTTGATTGTTTCACTCTTTAAAAATCGTTTTAGAAAGCATCATTTTCACTAACGAAGATGTTTTGTAATTTTATTAAATACATCCTGTGTTTTTATGTAAATGAATATATTATATCTGGATCATTTTAGCTTGTGTCGTTTTATATCTCTTTTTTTGTATAGTGAAGCAGAATTATACTCCAAAATATATTTTACCTAGATAGTCATGTCTTGCTTTTATAAATTTTAATACATTGGAAATACCCTTCTGCTTTAGAAATATTAACATTTGCTTTCTTTCTGCTTAATTTTTGTGTAAACTCTAAATATAATAAGATAAAGTGAAATATTTCATTTATAAGCCCTCTGAAAGTAGAGCATTTTAAAAGCAGGTAGGTGCCTCCACCCTACTTTCCATGAAGCGTTTTACCCATTCAGGCAGACTTTTAAACACAGCTTGTTTTGATAGCAAACTGCTCTCCTGTGGGCCTGCAGCCTTTGCTTCCTGGCAGCACCTTTGGTGCGAGAAGAGAGTGATCAATTGGGAGACTGTCAGTGCCAGCGTGCATAGAGCGATAAGTTAACACACCACTGGGAATTTCTAGGGCCCACCAAGATACTTCACTTCTAATGTGCTAACAAGCTCATTTTTCTACCTCTTGCCTCTTCAGTTATTTTTTTTCTCAGAAGAGCTTAGAAGTTGAGTGCATCAGGCATAATGAAAAGCTCTGTAGGAGGGAGAAGCAATAACCCCATTTTTCCCTTTTCAGCCAAATAGAAAATTAGTTTCTGGTAATACACAAAGGCCAGTATTTTTTGTACAAGGGGCACTGCTGTGAATCAAAGGACTCTATTAACTGCAGAAAATTCAGCAGCTGTGAATCTCCCCCAATGAAAAAAGTACTTTCCAACAAGTTGTGAGATATGTGGTATTATTTAGATTGAACCATCAGTTTCATCCTTTTCCATTTATAACCATATACCTTCTTTTTAACGTGTGCTACATTTCTTTTCTATGTTAACACTCAAAAATGTCTATATGATCCTTCCTTAAAATTCTTACCATTGATCATTTTAATAATCTTGTCCTGTTGCTACTCATATCTGAAGTAAAATTCTTTTGAAGTTCAACCTCAGTGTGCAGAATTGAAAATAATGGATGGCAAGGAATTGGAATTCAGATTATTTCAGTGCATAAAATAAATTTTAATACAAGGAAAAAGTACTCAAGCCATTTAGAGGGCAAAGGATATCACAGTCTCAGTCAAGTACCTATTGATATAGGCTTCCCTTTACTCTTATGCTTTTTTTCCCCTCTTCTTAATCACTTTTATAAATATAACTGACTATGGTAGCTCCCATTGAATTAGAATTTTAAATTATATTTCACAACTTTTCTTCTTGATCTTGATTGTAGACTTGGGATACAATTGCTAGAATTGTAGAACTACAGTAATTGAATTGTAATTTTCTTTTCAAAAGAATAAGGAATTTTGGGGAGAAAATAGTTAAATGAGTTTCGGAAAATCAGAGTGAAAAAAACAACCACCAATAGGCAGATTTTTTATTTTTCTTTATACTTACTTAAACGTCTTATGTAAAGCCTATCAACAGAGCATATTGAGTACAGCAGGAAAACTTTTAAAAGTTGTAGAAGAAAGGTTAACTGATTTCTCAGTTCAGGAACTATACGACATGAAGTCAGCATGTGAGCTTTTCCTGATAATTGTATGTTGCTGCCTGCTGCTCTACATTTTGACAGCCATTTCCATAGTTGCTTTCGTGAACAACAGAAATATTCTCTCTCTTTCTCGCCCTCTCTGTGCTAACAGCACAATCAGGCCTGCTGAAACAGGAAGCCTGGAGTGGGTTGTTCAAAAGCAACAACACTTCAAGGTACTGGTTGCTTGTCAATAATATCAGAGAAGAAAATGTGGTGAAAGGGAAGTACAGTGTTTTTCTGTCAGTGTCAGTGCCCTGTAGATGCTTTGTTAGACAGTATTTAGGAGTCCTGTGGTCTCTTTGCAAATATTCCTGCTTGTTTCAGTGTTATAATTGACTGGGGGTTTTTCCTGACATACAGATTCAACTATGTATTTATCTTAACCGCATGGAGTTATTCGAGGATTATAGCAACAGTAGTCTACCATTCAAAATGAGGACAATTGTTGGGAAAATGCAGAGATTTTAGGAAAAAAAAGGAAGATATGCAGGAATTTTTCACAATAAATCTTTACAAATGAAAAATGTAGAATTTCAGTTATAGTATTTTAAACAGCATTATCGTATTTATTGTGTGGCTTCTCAGAGTAAATCTGCAGATCTGAAGCTGACTAAAAAGAGGCTGACCTGATAGCAGTTGAATCCTTTCTCAAGTAAACTTAACTTTCTTTCTTCCAACAGTTCAGTATTATAATTACTTTCTAATAAATGTCTCCCTGTTAAGCTGCCATTTATAGTGATATCCAGAAATGTAAACATGTTAAAAACCGTATTTTTTACTCTTTAAAAAGCCATACTTTTGATATATGCAAGGTTAATGAATCATCATATTTATCAAGAACTGATGGCTTAGCAATCACAATGGTCCCTTTTGATGAGCCTATTCTTTTTCAATATAAGCTGCATTAACTTCATCCTTAACTGAAGGAAATCAGCTATGAGGAGAGAGCACGGTACCTGCAAACAATTGTCCAGCACCATTTAGAACCAACGACGTTTGAAGATTTCGCGGCGCAGGTTTTTTCTCCAGCTCCCTACCATCACTTACCACCGGATGCTGGTAAGGTTAAAAGCAAGTATTCATTACTTGTCATTATTTGAACTTGAAATGCAATGCCCTTTTGTTCTAAAAACTCTTAAAATAATAGAAAACATGCCTGAACAAAATTCCAGTTCCAACATTGAAATATAAATATTTTTCATCATTATTTAATATTTGAATCTGGCCTGTAAATTTGATTCATACTTTCTTTTACCTACATGGAATTCCTTTGAAAGTCTTCATAGAAGTGCATACACCACATTTTATCTGAGCTAACGGACGGTGACTATTGTGTTTCACGGAATCATTACTGAAGGAAGTATCTGCAAAAGAAACACAAGTTGAGCATGTACTGTCAACTTTAGAGCATCAAATTTCATGGCCAAGAATATTGTCTTATCTCTGATTTTACAAATAAAGTTGAATAGTCTAGATTTAAAAGTACTCAAAATAGTTAATTATTTTACAATATTTAAAGATTATAAAAGGGTACTGCATTTTTACTATTAACTAATTTTGAAGAAATCAGTAAAAAATAAATGACTCATGGCCTTCCTATTCTGTAATACTTTGTACTCCTTATGATTGTTTCATTTATTTTATTTCCCTCTTTAGATCATTAAATATCAGTTCTGTTTATCTGAAGGTAAGACAAAGTGTCAACCAAAACATTCTTTGTTCTTCCCCTATTTCCTTTTTTTTTTTTTCCAATTAACAAGCACTAAGCTTGTAACTCAAACAATATGCAAACTTAACACTGCCCTGGTTCATACTAAACATTTCAGAAATGGTCACTAAATTTTTTCCAGAATTATACTTACTAACCCAAGTCTGCATGAAACACTAACACTGGTTCTGGTATAAAAAATAACTAATAATAAACCCCTTGGTTGAAATTAGTTACATCTTCTTATATTGACCTTCTTTGTTTATCAGCATGAAAAAGTAATACTACTGAACTGAAATGGTATGTCTTTGTATTTTATAATGTGTTGCATTTTTATTGAGTATCTTAACTCACCAAATAGTTGTTCTGTTGTGTGCCTTGCACTATACTAGGCACCCGAAATATAAAGATGACTATTTTAATGGTGTTCAAAGGAAGCAGGAAAAGATAATACAATATGCTTGAAGTTTATTATAGTAACTCTTTAAATTCTCTTTTGTAAGTTTTTTTATATTAAATAAGTTTAAAAGGTACAGTACTGTTGTACTTGCCTAATTTATTTGAAAAAAAATTCTGTAATTCTCAATTGAGATTTAGTTGATGAAATTAAAGCTTCCATTTCTGTGACCATTTAACTGGGCATTATAAAAATAATTATACCTAAAATCTTAGAGCTCTTTTGATTAATATAAAAGACTTATTAGCAATGATGACTAGGTTGAATCTTTTGAAAGAAAGATTAAAAAACCTAAGATTCACTTCAATGGAATGATACTATCTAAAATTATTCAGTTTAGCATATAGAAAGATGGCAAAAGGAAGATATTAAAAGTAAATTAATGAAAAAAAAAAAAAAGTAAATTAATGAACAACAAAATAAAAACTAGTTAAGTTCTTACCTGAAAATGTCCTTTTTAATAATAGAGAATATCTGATAAATAGACTAGATTATTAAAATAGATATGAACAATACTTTCGTAAATCACATAGTCAAGCTATATATTTCACAACTGAAAAATATTGATAATGGGACCACACTCAGACTAAGTTTTCCCGTTAAATGTAGAAAGGGTGTCGATTTTAATGTTCTAGTTGTTTACCAACTGGAGTCCTTCACATCCCTCTTCTTCATGTTCCTTTCTATTTTGCATATTATCCTGCATATTTTGCCAGATACATATATGTAATATGGGAAGTAAATAATATTCTCACTTTCTGAGGCATTAAAGGATGATACAGTAACCAAGTCAAGGCTCTTTTGGCTTCATTTTTTTATTGTATTTCAGTGTTTTATTTACAATTTGTTTAACATAAAATTGACAGTTATCTAAATAGTAATGCAGATGTGAATTTTAACGTAAACCTAATGCCATGCTAAAAATTCTTTCAGTTAAATATTTTTTGGGGGTGCAGTGAAGAAGAAAACTTTATTCAGTGCAAAACAGCTCAATCGTTATACAGCATGCTGTAGAACGTTCAATTAATTTTTTTAAATTGTCTTTACCTTTAGGAACCATTAGATACAAACACTGTAAGAGGTTGGTTTTGCCTGTAAATAACTTGGTCCAGTATTACCAAATACCTTTTTATATATTTTTTGCAGACTGCGTAGTTATTAAAGATAGAAATTTTTAGCAGAGTGGCTCTCAGTTCAACACAATATAAAAATTAAATATTTACTTCTGTAGTAACAAAAGCATTGTGTTACCTGATGAATGATTGTTTTATTTTTTTCCAGTCACCTCAAATTTTTCTGTCCTAAACCACTCCATACATATAGAATTCTCTTTAAAAGTGTAAGTCAAAGCAGGGGAGAGAAGACATGAAATAAACTACATAATAGCAGTATGGAAGTTTTTTGGTTCATTTTTACTTTTTAACATAGAAAATTTGCCATATTGAGGAAATGCATTCATAATTGCAAGTGAAAATTAGCTTTAAATATTCTGTGCATACTTCATGTATATAAAATAATACTCATCAATACAAATGCAATAATTTGAAATTAAGTTTAAAGTAATGCCAATATGATAATCATATAAAGAATATCATCTTTCTAACCAATCCTATAACATAATTTTATTTGGTGGAATAATGTAAAAAATACTATTTTTTAAGTTGACAAGTTGATTTAAGATGACCTAAAACCTACTTTCTATTTAACAATAATGTACCAACTGTGATGACATTAAGATACAAAAATAAAGATTTTAAAAAATAATTTTTAGTGTTATTTAAATAGATATGAAGAGCATTTTTGATATATCATAGTTGCTCCATAAATTTCATAACTGTGTTTTCTCAAAATGGACTCTGTGGCAGTAGACTGATACTTACGGGAAATTATTTTTATCCCTAAGGTCATTGAGGGGAGATATGGAAGATCAACAAAGTGTTACATCATGATAACTACATTAAAACATTATTAGATTGTTCTTGTCCCTTATTTTTTTAAAAAAAATTACAAGAAAAATCCTTTTATCTTTGTCAAGCATGTGTGTGGAAAATATCAAAAGTTTTACAGTGACCTTCTTTTTTAACTTTTTTTATATTCATGAACACCTCTCCTCTGACTCTACAATGAAATTACTCCTCTTCTTGACCAAATTACATTGGTAGTTCAAAATCTAGATATTTTTCCCTAATAGCACATTATCTTTTCAAATCAAGTCTTATTTTAATAAAAGAAATTATGGAATGCCAACAAGAAACAGGATTTTTTTTTTTTTTTTTTTTTTTTGCTGGAAAAGTGCAATAAATATTGTCTTAATTTCAACATTAAAAATAACACTCATTTTTTTTCAGTGTTGTCTTTTTAGTATCACCGGCCATAAATATGCTTAATGTTTATTGTGTAGTATTGAACTAGTATATAACTCCACTTGGATTTATTGTTTTTCTGCAAATTAAGTATAGAAATGTTAGTACTTTAAAAATTAAAGGATTGATCCGTGTTTGACTATATATGCACATATACACATATTCATATACACACGTAAATATTCATACCAATACCTACATACAACTGTATAATAACCTTTAGAAAACGTATAGGCTGCTATTTTTTTAATATGTTTTCATTGATTTCAGAGAAGAAGGGAGAGGGAGAGAGAGATAGAGACATCAATGATGAGAGAGAATCATTGATCGGCTGCCTCCTGCCTCCTGCATGCCCCACACTGGGGATCAAGCCTTCAATGGGGGCATGTGCCCTGGCGGAATCGAAATGAGTTAGGCTGCTATTTAAATAAATATTATAAAAATTAGTAATAAGATTCAAATATTTCTATGTATGCCATCAAAGTAAGAGTTAATCTAGATAAGAGTGATTATGAAAACGTAGGGTAGTGTCAAATCATCTTTCATTCTAATCTATTTTACTATTATTTCACAAAATCTGTATTGCCACATGTAGATGGGATAGCGTTATGATGATCAGATCCATCTCTTTGAACCTTTGGATAGAACGAATCATCAAAATTTAGCCATTGCTTTAAGTAACCATTTAAGCTCAGTGTCCTTCTTTAAAAGTCATTTTACACTTTACTTTCCAGGCTCTGAAGTAACCTGGAAGAATATATTTTAGGAACTCAGAAGATTTTATATATATATATTTATATATATAATCTTTAAAATAATATTTGTAAATGCCAACAGGAAAATCAGTTTCCTTCAACATATAGCATAACCTATAAGTTTGTTTACTATGTTTTTAAAAACAGATTCCTAATCATATCACTAGGTTAGCCTAAAATTATTAACCATTAACCTTTTGCTTTTTGTTTTGTTTTGTTTTTTAATATATTTTATTGATTTTTTACAGAGAAGGGAGAGGGATAGAGAGTTAGAAACATCGATGAGAGAGAAACATCAATTCAGCTGCCTCCTGCACACTCCCTACTGAGGATGTGCCCGCAACCAAGGTACATGCCCTTGACCGGAATCGAACCTGGGACCCTTGAGTCCACAGGCTGATGCTCTATCCACTGAGCCAAATCGGTTAGAGCCCATTAACCTTTTGTGACAATAATTACTATGTTCAATTTCCATATAAAACATTCATTCAGAGTAAAATTTTTGTAATGATAATAGTAAAATAATAATTGAATAATCACTGTGTTAAGTACTACTATACATGCATCCTCTCATTTAATCTTTATGGCAAGTCTATGAGGTGTTTTTTTAAAAAAATATGCTTACGAAATAAATTCCTTATCCAGAGTCAGCTGGTACTTGTTAAAGCAAGACTCTGACTTCAGAATCCATGATCTCAACTATTATAATTACCCATTTTATCTAAATATTTTCAACCCCTTCTTGCTGTTGAAAGAGAGAGGAAAGAGAGAAAATGCCCAATCACGTGTCATATTTACAAATTAGAAATTATAAAAGATTTCTATTTTTAAGGCTCTACTTTACTAATTGAAAAATCTTCTTTCTTCTTTTTTTTAAAAATAGTTTTAAGGTTGCCATGGAGAAGTATGGGCTTTGGAATCAGACTGATCTGGGTTAAATCCTAGTTCTGCTGTTTATTATCTGCATGATCTCAAATAAATTAATGTATCTTAAACCCAGTTTTCCCATTTGTAAGGAGATGAAATATGACAAGCTTAGATATGTTCTAAGTTGCAATAATGGTAATTCTTGAATATCTTAAAATGAAACCACTTTGCCTATATTTCTGTGCCATTTTATTTTAAATGTGTTATTTACTTTATGACATTCAGTGGTGAATCCATGCTAATCTTAATCACTTATCACCTCCTGTAACAATATTAAAGCAGTAAGATTATTTAGGTAATCTGCATCCTTTAATATAAGCTTATATATTATAGGAATATTAGCATAAGAGTAGATAAATTAATTTCCCCAAAACTAAACTTTTTGGTATGCTGTGTTCTCCACATTTCAACAATTATATTTTATAAGTGGTCATTTTCTTCAAAAATATTTCTAATTTCTATTCCTTCTTTTCTAATCCCCATCTGTTCTGATTCAAAGAATGTTAATTGTCACTCGTATGTGTTTAGTAATCTTATTATAGGGCTATACTTATTGGGTACCTGCTCTGTGCCAGGATTTTCGTATATGTCGTCATTTATCCCTCACAACTTTGCAAAATAACTAGTGTTGTCTCCATTTTACAAATAAAAAAACTGTCCGGTGTCAGTTTGCCCAAGATCCAAAGCTAATAACATGACAAATTTGGCATTTTATGATACCTGTCTAACCCATGCCCATGCTTTCTAACAGATCACATTGCCTCTTAGTTTAGTATTAATTGGAATTGCTTTCAAAGTCACGGTATTTTTAAAGCCTATATATCTACCCTATAACTTTAGCAGTTTAAACTGGTCATGCCTGTCAGCCACAATAAATTATTCATTAAGTTCCCATATATAATCTATATAGATCCCCACAGTCATATTCATCATGTTACATGTATTTATAATAATAGTTTATTGTAATCTGTGCACAATATATGAGTCAATTTATTATACCTTTAAGATATAGACACAGTCTGTGTGAGTACTGTACCAGTGTTAGTAACAGATGCAGTATGCATAAATATAGGAGTCCATAGATACTTTGTAAACTTTATACTTGAGGATATATTAATAATAGAAATAAATTAACATTCTTTATAACTCAGGTGATATAAATCAGTACTTAGGCAGAATAGGATGTGAAATGAAGTGTAGGTATCACTGTATTCTTTACATCTAAAATTGAGATCTAGCCCTGGTTAGGGAGCTCAGTTGATTAAAACATCGTCCCAAAATGCCAGTTGCAGGTTCATTCCCTGGTTAGGGAATATACAAAATTCAACCAATGAATGCATAAGTAAGTGGAACAACAAATTGCTCGCTCTCTCTCTTTCTCTCTCTCTCGTCAATCAATAAATAAAAAATGTTTTTAATATAAATAAATAAATAAAGTTGAGATCTGTCTACTCTAAATTATTTATAGAGTTTGGGAATGCTGAGTATATACCATAATTGTTTGCTAACATGTGAAGAGGTACTCGTAGCTATATTCTACACACACTAAGAAGCCTGATTTGACTCAGTTTACTAAAGGGGGCATTTCGCGCTGCAGGCTGTAAGGGAGACATGGGAATTCCTGTTTTTGAGTAAAGCATTATTTGAATTTGGCATACTCCAAAGCAGTGGTTCTTAACCTTCTGGCCCTTTAAATATAGTTCCTCATGTTGTGACCCAACCATAAAGTTATTTTCGTTGCTACTTCATAACTGTAATGTTGCTACTGTTACGAATCGTAATGTAAATATCTGATATGCAGGATGGTCTTAGGTGACCCCTGTGAAAGGGTCGTTCGACCGCCAAAGGGGTCATGACCCACAGGTTGAGAACCGCTGCTCTAAAGCAATGTTCTCCAATAAAACTTTCTATGATGATGAAAATGTTCTGAATGCACTGACCAGTATGCTTGCCACTAACCACATGTGGCTGCTGAACACTTAAAATGTGGCAAGTGCACTGAGAAGCCAATTTTTTATATTTAATTTTAACTTAATTAATGTGGCAGCTATGGCTAACATGTGGTGCAGTAAGTATAGCTCTAAAGATTCTATGACTGAGTGATCAGGATAACATACCCCCAGTACAGTGAACACTTTGAAAGATAGATGTTTATAGCATCTCTCATAGACAATTTTTTTCTTTTCTTTTTTCCTATTTGAACTTGTTGTGTTAGTTGGTAAGTATAACATTTGAAATTACAAAGCATTCATTGTGATACATCATCACTCTAACACATTGCATGACCAATTGTATTTCATATTAAAAACCTGATTACTCTCTTCTCTGCTCCTTGGTTAACACCTGTAAAATTCTGCAGTGTCTCTCATATCTGTTATCTATCTTCTCTTTTGTTTTCTCACTCTGCTCGCTACTCCATTTCTTCATTTACAACAAAGAAAGAAATGCAGTGATAGTTCTCTTCCTCCCAAAACCTCCGCTAGAAAACATTGGCCATCTCAAGGTAAATAGCCATGGGAAAGCCTGTCATGATTGGCGGGAATAATGTGCATTACCAGAAAAGCATGAGCCACTGCTCTTCACCTTCCTTCTGCCGTCCATCTGCAGTGCTTTCCTAAAAAGGGCCATGGGTTCATATTCTCCTTGAGGTTTTCCAGTAGGGATCCAGGATCAACCAACTGAGATCTTCAGGATGAGTAAAGGTGAACAGAAATATATATATTCCTTTTCCTTGTATTTTGAAGGCCAACCTCATTTCAGTTAGAAAAAAAAATAATGTTGAAGAAGCTGCTTTGGAAAGCAGGGCAGTTGACCTGGATTATGAGTAATAAAATATTTTTCTTCGACAATGTATGTTTGTTCATAAGTATAATGAGAACATTTGGCCTTTAAAACATTTTGAAGTGTCCTACCAAGACACATTCTTAATAACAGGGATACATCTCAGTAGGACCGGTATCCCTATTGAATGGTCTTGTGTTTCCTTATAAATACTCATAATTTCAATTTAGGCACAAATGTTTTATTATATGGAAGTTCTAGTATGATTATATCCAAGCTTCAAGTGTCAGTGAGGTGCTACTTTGGCTAACAAATATGCCAAAGCTTTCCCTACAGAGTAAAGAGTTGTGTAAATTTAAGCCTGCAACCTATATGGTGTGTGTCTGTTTGTGACACATATAAAGAATATTTCCATGTACACAGAGCCCAGAAAATCTGGATTAAAGTGCTTTAAAATATATAAAATTTTTTAAATTTTGTTATTCTGTTCTGTTTGCTGATTTCCTTTGTTTTTTTGAAGGGCTTTTATTTTTATTTTTTATTTTTAAATATATTTTTATTGATTTCAGAGAGGGAGAGAAAGACAGAAACATCAGTGATGAGAGAGAACCACTGATCGGCTGCCTCCTGCCCTCCCCACACTGGGTATCAATCCTGGTTCATAGGTCAACGCTCAACCACTGAGCCACACCGGCCAGGCAAGGGCTTTTATTTTTAATATACTTTCTTATTTATTCAGAAAATATTTGAGAGCCTATAATGTGCAAAGTTCTGTAGAGTTGCTGTATATTAAAGAATCAATTCATGGAAATAAAGTACAGAGGTGAAGCACTACTTTATAAATGACACAAATAATTTTCTAATTTGAACTTAACTTTGCTTTTAAATTTTTATATCTTCTAATTCTACTGGTTGCCTTTTTCCTATGACTGGATAATATAATTGCAAAAGTTTAAGTTAAGGAAAAGAAAGTATTGTTTATCTCTTCTAAATTGAGACATTTGGGGGTTGGTTTATCTTTTTAACTGACTTTCAAATGCGAATTCTTGTCCTCTTCCTCCTTCTTGAAAGCATATTTTAATACCTATATGTATAGTGGTCTCGTCGTGCTGAATTCCTTTTGAAACTGATTGCTTTGTTGTTTCCAAGTTTAGGCAGTGAAGGCCCTTTTCTTGGTTATACCCTATGCCCTAGAGATGGGAATTGGTCCTTCTTACCTGCTTCTTAAGCCCGTCCTGCATGCTAATAGTGCTTTGGATCCCTGTCCTTTCTGGCCCAAAGATTTTGCTTCCCATTGCTTTTTCTGGGGAGCTCTCTGCTTGATTCTGGCTCTGGAAATAAGGATTGGCGCTTTCTTGCTAATATGATGGCATGAGCCACCAGATCATTGGGTTTTAAATAAAATATTAGTTAACTGTTATAACAAGCAAGTTTGGGGCTTGTTCTTTCCTCTCAAAAGACCTCATTCAAGGTTGGGATCCATTGCTACAGATTAGTAGCGACAGGTTGTTTTATATGGGATTAGAGGCTGGATAGCCTGACCTGTACTAATGCTTTTGCTTTTCCCACAGGCTCCTACCCAGAGGTTCTACCCAGTGAAACTCCCACAGCAACGCAGGTAGATGGGGCCGACCTGGCCTCTCCAATGTCTCCTCGAACTAGCAAAAGCCGTATGTCCATGAAGCTGCGTCGATCCTCTGGCTCAGCCAATAAATCCTAAGGAGATGAGCAGCCCAAGCAGAGATCAGCAGTAGCCACCTTAGCATGAACTTAGTGTTAACCCTTTTGGGCTCTTATGTTTGCCATAGCATGCATGTTCCTTCCTGAACATTTATTGTAAAAAGAACACTGGATTTAAATAATTTGTAACTTAATATTTTAGATTTGAGTTGTTTATTCACTTGGTTTCCCCCCACACTGCAAACTGCCTTGGGGGAGAGGGGCATTTAGTATCCCTTCACCTTTCTAGATAATTATGTCTAAGAAGTTTTACTTTTAATTTCATGATTACCTTTGAACCAAAATAGAATGGTTCTCGTTATTTTATTTATCATGCCCCATTGCAACTTTATGGGCTCAGTAAATATATAATTTTTTTACAAATGTAAATTTTTAAATTTAAGCATTTGTAAAGTTATAGCAAAAGTTGCAAATCTGTTAATACACAGGATGTGTATGGATTATTTATGTTATGAAAATAAAACATTAAAATAAATGGTCTTTTAGCATCACAAATTCTAACTGAAATAATTTTAGCATTAACTTTTTCTTCCCAAAGCAATGCCTCGTTTCTTGGCTGTATGGTGACGCCGTGGCATATCTAGTAACCAGAAAAATCACTGTGCTAACTTTGATTTAAGTTTAGCTTCAATATTTTTCTAATGTTTTGCTTTTTAAATGGTATCACTGTTAAATGCCTCTTTTTTTTTTTTTTTTTGAGATTGTGGCCCTTTATTATTGGCTAGTGGATCCTGGTGTACTTATGTTCTTTCTTAAATACCATAAAGGGGAGACTTGGGAGGAAAAAAGAAAAGAAGGAAAAAACTTTTCTGATATAAATGTGTTAATTAAATTATGTGTATTTTTTTTAAAAAAAAGGAACATGACCCAGGAGTCCAAATTAAATCTAATATTGTTAATACTGAACTTGCAGGTGCAGTTGGTATACATTCCACTCTCCAGAGGTATTTTCCTACAGTAGATAAGCTGCTCACATTTTGCTCATATTTTGTTTTAAACTGGCATCTCCTAAGGAAATGTAGCATGGCATCGGTACTAACTGCATGTGTAAATACATCATACAGCAAACTATAAAATATAAATTATGTATCATTTTTCATGTAGTATCTACAAATTTGTAACAGTGAAAAAAATATATATAGTATTTAGTAATACAATAAAAATATCACTTATGTCCATTAGTGTTTTTGTCTTTTATGTATTTTCAGATTTAATAATCAGGGCTATATAATTAATGGAGAGGTGTGAAGCATAAATCTAGATTATCATGAAAAATGGGCTTGAATTTTCAGGATACACCCCTAACTTATTTCACAGGAATCCTACCACAATCATTAAAAATGCAGGAAATGTTATGCCTTCATAAGGGCTGGCTAGAAACTTCACCCAGTGCACTTGGTTAAAGCATCATTTTATCTCAGCCTCATGTTTCTTTGATTTCTTCAATTTACTTGCTTATAGTATACATTCAGGAACAAAACTTTTATAGTTTCTAAAACCTGTGTACTTATTTATTTTTTTATAAATAAATTCCTATGAAATAATGTAGAAAATAAACTAAAATTCCTACAAAAGACAATAAACATGTCCCTCGGAACAAGATTAAACAATACAGTTTTCCACAACCCAGGTAAAGAATTACAAAGAGGAAAAATCAAAGTAACAGCTTACACGTTTCTGCAGTGCTTTCAGATTTGTTTAATGAACAGCTAATGGCTTCATGGTATGTGACAAAATGGAGTGAAAATGCCAACTTGAAATAGCAGTTAATTAGCACAATTAACATGATTATTTTCATCTTAAGATAACCACTAGATTTTTTAAAATTTTTTAATATTTTTCTGTTGATATTTTGGGGTGGTAAAGTGTCTTTAAAGAATAGTGCATATTCTTTGCCTTTTGGAGCTCTTTCTGCACAGCCATACTTTAAAGGAAATTTTTCCATTGCATTTCCTCACCATCACATTCATTTACAAAATGTAATTTCTCCTGGCTGTAATCTAAGTGGGTCACTAAAATTATAAAGTAGGATACCAGCTTTGGGGAGATGTAGCTTTGAAAAATAGGCTGTGTTTAATGGAATTCTTAAGACAAACACAGAACACGACAAAGCACCAGCTATGGACATTTATTTGGTGGTGAGCATCTTATAAACACAGGCGGTCTGTCAAGCGATACTCACTCAGCTAGTGTCCTACACTCTGGCTCTTAGGACGTGGGTACAGAATGTGCACCGGATATGGTTTACATAAAAAAGAAAATACTGGATATTATGACTTGCCATTCAGCTCCATTGTGGATTATAGGTATTAACATCTTCCTTAAACTGAACATAGTTTAATTTATAATACACAGTACAAGATTTACAACGGAAGTATCAAACAATTTGAATGAAACCGTACTAAGACAGTTTAACTTCAGGAAATGAGTTCTATATTCCCAAAAAGCTATTTTTTTTTCCCCCGGTTTAAAGTATCTCTTCCTGCCTACTACACACAAAATAGCTAAAGGTGAGAATCTTGGGGATATGTCAGCTGCTTCCTGTCAAGTAGCTCACTCCCCACCTCAAAACACTAACTTAAAAGACTAATACTGAGAAAAGGAAAGCTTACAGGGAGATCCCCACATCCCCCAAAGCAAAAATATCCTATTTCCTACCTACAGACACAGGTCTTGAATCTCCCCCCACCCCAAAAGTTTGGCACCAGTCACAACTTTTAATTCACAGAATATACAATGCAAGATATCTGACCCTATTGAAACAGAAACTAAATAGGTGCCTGCGATGACAACAGGAAAAAAAAAAAGTGACTGTGGACATTGAGACATGCACGCATTCACTGCGACTTTCCATAGGAATTACAAGTCATATGGGATTCATTAGGACCTTCAGAGTTTGGGAGGCGAGGGGGATCCTATTTTCATGGGGAAAGAGAAGGATTTAAAGCTGGCAGTCCTTGGCCTCGAATGTTTATAACCATCCATATACATAACCTGCTCTGGAAAGGGAGTTTACATTTTGCTGTCCGCTCCTATGTCAGAACATCGACTACTGAGACTTTTAGGAGAGAACATACAGGAAGGACATGAGGTAAACTTGCAAGTTGAAGAGAGCCCTACAGAAATTCCCATGATCTGTTTCCTCAGGGGCCAACCTCGCAAACTTGGGTCTCCGGGCCCTCAACAGCCCGGCCGCAGTGGCATCTGCAGCAGCAGCACCTGCCGACTCTCGGAGGGGTGGCACTTATTGATGTGCCGAGTCAGCCCCGGGGAGCTAAAGAAAGTGGACGGGCAGTGCTTGCACGAGAAAATCTGCTGAGCACTCCCGTCGGCTGCCCCTCCTGGGCTCGGAGCTTCCGGGACTGCCCCAGCCAAAGCTGGCAGGAGCAGCTCGTCCCGGACAGCGTGCCACAGCCGGTGCTTATCCCTGATGTCTGCGGACGGGAAGTGCGCCCCGCACAGTGGGCAACTGAAGGCCAGTGGGACCCCGCGTTCAGAGCCAAAGCCTGGGGCAAGCGCGCGGGCCGAGCCCGCCTCGTGAGTGCCCAGATGCTTGCGCAGATAGGCTTGGCGACGGAACTTTTTGTGGCAATAGGGGCACACGAAGATCTCGGGTCCCCCGGCACCACTGGCACTGCCCGGCCCAGGCAGTCGACGCCCCAGTACCCCTTCCGTGTAGGGGACCCGAGGCAGCGGTGCCTCGAGGTGGGACAACACCTGGAGACCCTGGGATGGGGAGCCCTCTGGGCGCGGCTCCACCCCGGAGCTGTCCCTGGCCTGCAGGTGCTGATTTTCCGTCTGCTCTGCCCGGCTGTTCTCCTTCCCCTCCGCCAGAAAAGAAGCAACAGCCCCGGAATCCGGGGAGGACGAAGGAGGAAGCTTCGCGTCAATCGAGGAGACTGCGGCGGCGTTTGTCACTGCGGGACGCGGCTTGTGCCAGCGGCGATGGGAGGCGAGGTTCGCCGGGCAGCTGAAGACCTTATCGCACTCGGGGCAGCGGTACTCAACGCGAACGATGCGGGAGCAGCGGTGCTGCGCCAACGCGAAGGGGTCCGCGTACTGTTCCTTGCACAGCTGGCAGATGAACTCCCCCAGCGGCGTGTGGCTGCCCCCCAGACCCCGGGACGGGGCTCCGGGCTCCTCCTCCTTGATCTTCAGGCCTAGGACCGGCGATGTGGTCACTTCATCAGCGAAGCTCAACTTCCTCATGGCCTTTGGCTTCTTGACTCCTGCGGCCGCAGGCCCAGACACGCAGCCCGGAGGCGCCTTGGCGCGGCGTTCGCCGGTGGCGGGACGCTTCAGGCTGTGCAGGGTGGCCGAGAGCGGCGCGGGGTCCGGATGGAGCGCGGGCTCTGGGAACGGTGCCCGGAGCGGCAGCTGGAACTGCTCCCCCGAGGTCGGTGCGGCTGCCGGTGCCAGTGAGCAGGAGAAAGCGGCCACGGCAGCGGCGCCCCCGGGGAAGGACTCAGCGGAGGCCGGCGAGCGGAGGCAGCGCTCCAGAAACGCCCGGCGCAGCTCCACGCCCACCGGCTTTGCAGGGCTGGAGCTGGGCCTGGGACTCTCCCTGCCATCCGCCCTCCACTCGGCACCTTCCCGCCCACCCGCCCCCGGGCTCACCCCAGCTGCCCGACAAGGCGACCCCGACAGTTCCCGGGCCGCCGTCTCCTCCAGCCCCCTTCCGGGCTCCTGGCTAGAGGGTGCCGCCTGCTCCGCATCCGGCCGGGGGGCCCGGGAAGCCTCCTTGGCGAAGGGCGGCGCCCCCTGGGGCTCCGGTAGGGGGAAGACCCGGTGGGCTAGGCGCACTCGGTACGCGCCGCCTGTCCGTTTAGTTCGCTTCACCAGGAAGCCCCTCGGCATGCTGGAGTCGGGAGCGCTCGGGGGCAGGGAGTGATGGGGGTGCTACGAGGCTGAGCGGGCGAGCACCGCGGCGGCCCGAAGAGCTTCGTTGCGGCGGTCATGCCTGCTCAGCCTTTATAGCTGAGACACAGGCCCGGGCACCGCCGGCGCCTCGGGGCTGCGCTGGCCAATCAGGAGTGGGAGCGGGCTCCGGGGCGGGGTTTTCGTGGAGCCGGGCTCTCGGGGTCCACCCGCGGGCGGCGAGCGCGCCCCTGCCCGCCTCCCCGGGACCTGCGCGTCTTCCGGCCCCAGCAGTCGGCCTAGGGGCTGCCCGAGGCTCCCCGCTCCCCCGCCGCCGCCCCACGGGAGAGCGAGAAAATGGAAGAAGGTGGCCCTGAGTGTGAGGAAGCTCCGCGCTCCCCACTGCAGCCGCCTCCGGGGACTGCACGGGGAGCCCTGCTGGGGGCCACCTAACGGCGCCCTCCCGCCCGTGGCTCCCTCCCGTGCGCCGCGGCCCTGCTGCCCCAGCGCGGGACCTGAGGGCAAAGCCCCGCCCTGCGGAGCCGAGCTGCGAGGAAGGGGCGGCGGGTTTCGGGGAGGCCACCAGGTGGGTATCAGCCGGGGAATGGGTTAAGGTCCTCTGCCTGGATCGAGCTGATGAGAAGCTGCGCCCGGGCTGCAGGGCTGCTAAATCCACCGCCCGGTTCCTACACTTGACGGCGGCGGGAGCACGTCCGCCATCCAGTATCGATCCAGACTGCGCGCGTCTGTGACACCATGAGGATTCATCTGGGGAGAAGGGCTCTCAGCGCGGGGGAGCGTGCGTGCTGGCCGGCTGCTGGGGCTCAGGAGCGGGCGCGCTTCTGGGCCCTGGTCCTCGGGGATTATCAACGCCCCCCGCCCGATGGGAACAGGCGTGGGGAGGGGGAGCTAGAATCTAATTTTCCACTGTCCTCAGATAAAGTGGTTTCTCTGTTCACACCTTCCACTTGTACTGCCCAGAGACATGACTTGGTGCTTAACTGGCATGTTTAGCATGGAGTAGATCGAGTGAGAAATACCGGTGGAATCAGGATTAAGTCTGCTTCCCCTTACAGAAGTGATACTTCGCAAAAAGTGTGCTGTAGGCCAAACTCCCTAGATTTCCATCCAGCACCCTGTAATGTGCCCCACACTGTCTTAAACACTGGAAGATATTTGAAAGTGTCTAGTACTAGCCGGGCTGTGAAATAATTAGGAAATACATTACAGATGTATAATAAAGTGCCCAAATCCATAATATAGACATAAGTACAATGTGAGAATAAGAAGGGGAAAGAGCTATGTGTCTGAGTCTCCTTACAAAACCAAATTGGAGCAACAGCCCGAGCAATGTGTCTAGTCATCAGTAACACATACTGTCTCCCTTCCAGCGAAGGAAGTGTTTTTACAGGGAGAGCATTATTTTTAAGCCGATTTGGGAGTAAGTATGTTAATCATTGGCTATATTTTAGGCATTCTACTTAAGTAATCTCTAATATTTTCACACAGGGACACACAAAACAAGGACATATTATTACTCTCCTTTTTTGATGAAGGGATTGAGCCACACAAAAAAAGTCAGATAACTGGTAAAAGTCCCCAGGAGCCCAGACTCACACGGAGTCCTGGCTAATTCCAAATCTCACTCTTCAACTCATTTTTTTCTGATCACATCCCACAATAAGACATATTTTACATTACACACACAACTGAAATAAAAGATTCACAAAATAATGCCCTTAAGTAGTCCATTGCATTCTTGTTTTTCTATTTCATTTTTCAAAATGCTGATCATAGCAAACAAATTGATTTCATAACTTACTAATAGATTAGGGCCCAAAGTTTGAAAAACACCATCATTATGGTGCTTTCTACTAAATAGCATAAAATTAACTAAATAAACCTGACTCTTTATAATCAAAATTAATATTCTGAATCACTACTTAAACCAGCATTTGCACTTCTGGGTATATACACAAAAGAACTGAAGACATCTAAAACACACACTTGTACACTAATGTGCATGGTAGCATTATTCGCAATAGCCCAAAGATGGGGGCGGGGGGGGGGAACAAGCCATTGTCCATCACAGATAAATGTGTAAACAAAAGGTGGGATATATACAAATGATAGAACATTACTCAGCCATTAAAAAAATGAACGCTGATACTTACAACATGGATGAATCTTGCAAAAATTATGCTAAGTGAAATGAGCCACAATAGGACAAATATTATAAGATTTCACGTGTATGAAATATCTAGAATAGGCAAATTCATAAAGATAGAAAATAGATTATTGGCTATCAGGTACTGGGGAAATAGGAACTTACTGGTTATAGAGTTTGTTTTAGAGTGATAAAGTTTTGTTAATCAATAGTAGTGATTAATGGACAACATTGTGAATGCAATTAATGCCACTGGATTGCACCTTTAAAATGTGTTAAAATGAAGATTTTTGTTATACTTTTTTACCACACAAAAAATTTTCACATACACAAAAGAATGGAAGGAAAAATCATGATATATGTCAGATTATAAAAAGAATATAAAGGAGCAGGTGACGTAATTTGAACTTTATTACATGTGACAGGCAAGGAGAACCATTTAAAGTTTTAAAGTTAGGGAGTGACATTTGGGTTTGAAATTGCATGAGGGAAAATATCTTTAGCTAAATTTCCTGCCAGAGAGAAAAAGGGAAATGCCAATATATGGGCCTCTTCCTCTCAGACCCTTTTAAACAACTGAAAATGGGTGTCTGTTTCTAGAAAAGAAAAAAAAAAAAAGATGAAAACTTAAAAAGTCAAAAGAGCAGTTAATGATGTGGAATGTTTAATGAAGTAATTGACAGAACGGATATGCAATACATATTTTGGAATGAATGGTGCTAGTTATTAGATGGCAGCAGACGTGTGCAGCTATCTATCCAGCCGTCCTGTCTTCCATGTGTACATCTACTCAATCACTCATCAAATACCGCTGTGTATTCTTTCTGTGTCAGTTCAGAAACACAGTGTTCAAGGAGTAACTTTCCTGTCATTTTCAGGAAAACTAATTTGTGTAGGAGAAGGTCCGCCAGCAGCTATTTTTATTTCTGGCCACCATTTTACAGAAATTTCCCCGGAAATGTCTGGTTAACCCAAAGGACATCATCATCACTCAGGTGGCCAAAGGGTTTGCTTCAGTGCCGCCCTTGGCACCCTGCAGTCCTTCCTGTGTGAGGGAGCGGCGGGGTGCTGCCGCGCTGCCGCCTGCGCAGCTCCCTCTCCTGGCGACATTCCCATCCACCCCTTCTCTGCCCTCCCTGCTCCTCAGCCCCTCAACCCCCAACACCCAGTGAGCATCCAGACTCCATTAAAGGACGGTCTCCTGAGTTCCATTGCCCACGTGCATCTGTATTCTCCACACCCTGTAGCACTTGTACTGGCAGCACCATTGCGTGAGTACCATGCAGCAGCTCACAATGATTAGTATAATAATACACAGCTGTGTCTCCTCATTATTTAAAGAAAAAAGAGAATTGCTGTCACATTTTCTAACAAATCCAGTAATCCCCCCCAACCCCCCCCCCCGCTCCGGTATAATTTGATAATCTTTCTGGAAATCAGTTTGCACTGTATATTGGGAGCGTTTAAAAGCGCGTATACCCGCCCTGGCCGCAACTCAGGCAGCCTGTGCATGGAAGGGTTGCAGGTTAACTAAGGATTGCGGGTTCGCCTCTAGCTCCAGGTCCACGTGTGTGGAAAGCAACCAATCTCTCTCTCTTTCTCTCTCTCTCTCTCCTTTCCTCCCTCCCTCCTTCCTTTCACTGTCTGTCTCTAAAAAAGTGACACCCCTCCAAAAGAAAACACACACACACGAAAACCATATATACCCAAAGAAGAAAAAAAATAAAAACATACCTTTTTATTACTCTTTAGTAAATCACCCAAAAGAAGGGCAGCGATTTACACACAAGGCTGTTTATCAGTGTTATTTGTAATTGCAAAAAATCAGAAAATAACTTGAGTAAATCGTGGTGCAGCTACTCTACAGATAATTTCGAAGCCATTAAAACAAAATGACATGGACAAATATATATGCCATAATGTTAAGCAAAAACAGTTGCATGCACAATAAAGAGCTTGATTATGAAAGAACAAAATGAATAAAACACCAGAAGGAATATGCCAAAATGTTGTTGGAGTTGCCTCTAGTTTGTAGGGATTTTAGTTCTTTGAAACTTTTGTTAGAATTATTTCGCAATAAGCATATATCAGAAACAAGTCAAGTAAAAGCTGCCTTGGAGCCTTTCTGGTGGTAGATGTGGCGCCCCTTCCCTTAGACACTGTTGGGGGAAATGGCAGTGCCACATCAAATGGGAAACACACAGGTAAGCCGCATTCTCCAGAGTCACCTGCTTGCACTCTGGCCCTGGAAAAGAGGCGATAAGCTTCTATCATGCCACAGACCTTCCGGTGGAGGAACACTTTTGGGAAGAGACGAAGGGCTAAAAGGCGGGGGAGAGAAAGAGTTTAGATGGATGCCCTCCACGTGGGTAGATCCTTAATGTATATACCCTTCTTTCTCCATTCTCCCACTTGGAAATTATGATAAACACAGAGAGATGCAAATTGAAATGACAACGAGGTATCACTTCAAACCTGTCAGAATGGCTACCATCAACAAATCAACAAATGACAAGTGCTGGGGAGGATGTGGAGAAAAAGGAACCCTTCTGCACTGCTGGTCGGAATGCAGACTGGTGCAGCCACTGTGGAAAACACTATGGCGTTTCCTCAAAAAATTAAATACGGAACTGCCATTTGACCCAGCGATCCCACTTCTAAGAATATATTCTAAGAAATCCAAAAACCAATCAGAAAGAATATAAGCAACCCTATGTTCACAGCAGCACAATTTACAATAACTAAGATCTAGAAACAGTCCAAGTGCCCATCAGTAGATGAATGGCTAAAAAAGCTGTGGTACATTTACACCATGGAATACTATGCAGCAGTGAAAGAGAAGAATTTCTTGCCATCTGAGACAGCATGGAGGGCCCCGGCGAGTATCATG